AGTTAGTGGTGCTCTCTATTTGTTGTTTATAACATATAGTTATTGATGTACAACAGCATGGCATTCACTTCAAAGACAAGCAAACTCACTGAAATAGTACTTGTGAAATGAAAGGAATAAGGCCTAAATAAAAATCCCAGTTCTCTTTTTCTAACAAACCAAAATGGCTAAATACCTGCACTATGGAATATAGTAGTGAGAAGCTATTGCTGTAAATAATTATGACGTTTTTCACTTGTGTACCTTTGCATACAGGCAACATAATGTTACATCTGAATAATGCTTACATTGAGTTTGTTTCTGCTGACAACAGAAGACTGGGCTAACGTGTAATACAAAATAATAAGCAGAAACATACCACGTGTATTGCTGCGAGCTCCTTGGTCAGTTTATCCCGGATGTGATCAGCTGTAATAGCCATGTCTGTATAAATAAAAGGTAAATTGTAACGTTAGTACAGCCGCTGCAGTGTGGCTAAATCAATGTGTATAGATCTCTGAGTGTCGTCAGAGGCATGGACATGTTGACACCGGAAGTGTTAAGGTATCCTTCAGTTTAGCATTTCGACCGTCCAACAAAACACTATTACATCACAATTGTGAACTGAGGTTTTAATTTAGAAGCGTAGCATTACCAAAGGCCGTGTGTTATACAGTGTTTTCGCTAAATTCAGTCACAGGGTAAATATCCATAGGGTGAACGACGTGTGGGTCTCTGTACTGAAGAATATATACTAATAGCCAATCAGATGCAATATGTTGCCATTATGGGCGGGACATATATTTTAAAGTAGCGAATCCATGAGCGTAACACAATTGTAGGTGTCTTTACAGAAAGACAAACTAAACGTTAAGCGAGATTAATATAAACATACATCTATGCTATACATTGATTACACTGTAAATGAAACAGTAGTTGTTGGTTGCACATTATTATATTAGCTTTTTATTTGTCTTGCAGAAGGCTCCCATGAGTCCTTTAAGACATAGTTTATCAGGCAGTTCAGTAGGCAACTAAGACGGGCAATGTTTACGTGCTAAGGTCCACTACTCTCATTTGTTGAAAGGTATGCTACGGGTAACCATCGAAACTATGCATGAACATTTTAAAGCATCTGAATTCAAGCTATTCAGATAATTATGCAGTGAAAATGGAAGTATTATCACAACATAATTGTCTAAAGTGTGTACAATTGGTTATTTTTTGACTTTTTGCTCATGGCTATACTAGCTAAAATGTACACAAGTCAGCTAACGTTATGCTGCTAGCTCACTCCATGGGTGCTCTAAAACAATATCAGCGAACGTGGCTGCTTACACTGTTCCAAGATGGTTGTGGAGGTAGAACACTTCTTTGGTGTGTACATGCTGTACTGCACCAACCCTAAATTCAAAGGGCGTATTTACATTGGCTTCACTGTGAACCCTGAGCGCAGAATAGGACAGCACAACGCCGGACGGCACCGAGGGGGGGCGAAGAAGACCAGTGGGAGGGGACCGTGGTGAGAGTTACACTGCTATACTACATCATGTTCCCTGTAGGATTACACGATTATCGATCTGTGGAATGTAACGTCTTATTCTTATTATTATATATTCATGTGATGTAATTTTTGGGTGCTTGACTATTTCCATGTTCTGCTACTTTATACTTCTACTTTCAGAGGTAAATGTTGTACTTTTACTGCACTACATATATTTAACACATATTTAACATATATATATATATGCACTAGTAATTTACTCAGTACTTTCCGAAATGTGCTCCATATTGACGAAATACAACATTAAAAAACATTTAATTTTGAATAAAAACACAATAATATAATATTCTATAATAACACAAAACATTTATAAGAGGCATTCTGCACATTGAGTACTTTTACTTTTGATACTTGAGTACATTTAGCTGATAATACTTTTACTTAATACATTTTCACCTGAGGATTTATAGTTGTAGTGGAGTATTTGAAGTATGTGGTATTAAACTGTTATTGATGTTCTGCATATGTTCCTTGTGTACAGGGACATGGTCCTGATAATACACGGCTTCCCCTCTGATATTGCTGCCCTTCGGGTAAGTCAAAGTCTGTGTATTGAAGTGACTGAATAAAAAGCCCCTGACACATCATTTAAAGGGACACTAATAGAGAAGCGTCATTGGCTCGTGATGAGGAAGTGAATGTGAGAGCAGAACTTTATTTGCTGATGTTTCATTAAGTTCTAAAGCAGAAATGAATAGCCATCCAACACTCAGCAGACTGACACTGCAGATTTCAGTCTGCTGAGTATCAATGTATCACGTTCTGAAACATCTGATCTCTTCATAGTAGATTTCAGAGTACATCACAATGACTGTGTTGTTGTTTCCTCAAGTGAAACATTCTTCTCCTTCATCGCTGCCAATTTCTTGTCATCAAAAGTCTAATTTTCCCGACCTTCAGACGAGGTGAACACAAACAGGAAGGAAAACAAGGGAATTTCCAAATCCTGGTGTCCTTTTTCTCCCATGTATACTATTCTTTGTTGGATTCAAATTCAATTTATTATTGTTTTTTTGGTCTTGAATTCAGTTCACGGTAATATTACAAATGACCTGTTTGTAGTTTTCTTTCACCCATGAATAGTTCTAACTCATCATTAAATCCCCTCTGGCTGGCAGAGAGCTCACAGCTGCATAGTTTCTTGTGTTGCTTTGATCACAATTGGTCCATCTGTATATGGTGTATTCACACTGTACATTGATATTTAATTTAATATGAACACTCCATGTTAATAATATCCTACTTCTATATTTTGTGAGATGTAATTGGCCCTTCATAGTGTATACTTGACTGTCTTCAGATGTATACCTTCCACCGTTACTATGTATATATTTTACTTTAAAGTTCTGTTTTTATTTTCTATTTTGAGAAGTTTATATGTTATGCTTGTGTCTGTTTATAATGTGCTCCTTTTCATTTTCACATTGCGTGCAATGCCTTGTTTACATGCTGCCGTAACGAAAACATCTTATCTTATCTTTATGTTAACTGTGGCAGTTTGAGTGGGCGTGGCAGCACCCCCACTCCTCCAGGCGGCTCTCCCACGTGCCCCGGCGCTCCAGGAAAGAGTCCAGCCTGCAGTTCCACTGGCGGGTGGTCTCCAGCATGCTACGGGCCCCCCCCTGGAGCAGGCTGCCGCTGACGGCCCGCTGGCTCAGACAGGAGTACAGGATGGACTTTGAGCCCAGCCTGCAGCCCCCCCTCCACGTCCCCATCGCCTTCGGGAGCATCAGAGCCAAGAAGAAGCTGCAGCCTGCAGGGGAGGATGAGGAGGAGGAGCAGGAGACATCCAGCTGTTTCCTCTGTAAAGGGCTGGTCAAGGTAAAGACTATTCAAACAATTAGAACAGCATTTTGTTTAAATGATTTGAAACACTTACATAACTTATATAATGGTTACAACATTAATACGTATACTACATTGATTGTCACATCTTACCACCTGGTCATTATAAAAGTGACTTACCCTTTTTCGCATCTTTCATCAAAAATATGAACTTGGTTTCTGATTTCATGGTTATTATTATTTTCCATTCCATTTCATTTACCAGATTCTTCCATTGTGAGCTAATTAAATTGTTATCTTTTAACAAATATTTGAATAATAATTTGTATTCCCTCTAGTGTTTTCCTAAGTTTTAAAGTAGAACATTTTTAAAACATCCCAAACCTTGATATTGGTTCTGAACCAGAGATAAACAGTGTATCCATCCTCTCAGTATGTCTGGGTGTGGGTTAGCTCAGGATCTGGTTCTGGTCTCTGCACTCACAATTGAAAATGATAATGCAGGGATAGGCAGGGAAGAGTCGGTAGGAGGAGCAGGGCCAGTGCAGGTAATGGGTACCATGTTGGCTCATTAGCGTGCTGATAGGCTAACGTTAGCATGGTAATATGAATACAGACAACCTGTATAAAATACATGGCAAAAACACAAAGATATTAAAATACAAAAACAGCACAAATTACTATATCAAAGCTCACTTAATAACATATACAATCGTTGTTTTGGCGTACAGTTGAAAACGTTTACATTCTCCATGGCTTTACCTGGATCACTGACTAACAGTTAGAATCATGTTCTGGAATTTTGAATTGTGAAAAACAAGTCAGACTTTATTGTAGTACAATCCGTTGTTTGTAAGCAGTGACATGAACCGAGACATCTTTGTGTTTTTGTTCAGGTGTCAGAAAAGCTGAGCTGTTTCCACCCCTCCTGTGGGATGAGCGGTCATGTGATCTGCCTCGCTAAACATTTCCTGAAGTCGGAGCCCACCCACCTCCTGCCGGTGGAGGGCAGATGTCCGGCCTGTCAGAGCTCTGTGCTCTGGGGGAGTCTCATCCGCCACAAACACCGCTGCTTCGGAGACCTGGAGGACTTCACCCCGTCCCTTTCCCAGGTGAATGGTGACTCCTCGTTAAATGCTCACTGTATCAGATACTGGAATGTCTTCTGTTTCAGGGTGTCCGCGGGGTCTTAGAAAGTATTACAAGTTGATAAATCTATTTAGCGAAAATGAAGGCTATTAAAAAGTATTAAACGGCAAGGTATTACATTTTGTAGCTTGTTTTCAATAAGTATATCAATGGTCCAAAGAGGTTGTATTCTACAGTCTGCCTGAATGTAATCATGGCGTAGGTGTGTAGTGTGATTCTGTGTAGTTTATTGATGGCATCCCGTTGGGTTTGACGTCATCTGAACAGGACATCGCACGCTCACTGCTTGGTAGCGCGTCAAGGTCCGTTTACGCCGGTTGTTAAACAACATATGTTAGAGCCACAAAGTTATTATTTCGATTCATAATTTGATAAATGATTTAATGATGGAAAATGATTTATATTGCCATGGTGAATATGTTTTGATGAAATAATTGTTAATTTTATATCAGAAATATGATCTGTTTCCGTGTACCTTCCGGTGTGTATTTAATTGAGGACAGCCGGTGTGCTCGGAGACCTGATGAGACGGGGAGCGGAACAGTTTTTCGACCACAAATTGCAGACAGAGATTGGTGTTGCAAATTGGACTGCAAACAAAGTATAGTTTAGTTTATATAGGAAAGCATATCGCCGAAATATTGTTTAAGATTTGTTATTTTGAGACTATATAAGTCAATACTTTTTTGTTAATAAATTAAAAAAATTTGACTGAAAACTAGGGATGCCCGATAATTATCGGTCCGATATTAGGAATTATGACGTCATCCCGATAAACCCGATACCAGTATTAATAGCCCCGATAATATAGAATATATTCTTTGGGTAAAAAAAAAGAAAAATACTGCGGTGTGGGTGGATTGGGATGAGGGGCGCTTGTTTTTCACTCGGCTCCTCCCGTTTTGCCAGTACTGTGGTATTAGTGGTTTAGGAAGAGGGGAGTTTTTCACAAATCCAGCGCTCCCTAACTCGTGAAGCCAGGACAGTAAACAAACATGTCGTCGGTGGTATGGGCGTTGGAGTTATGTGCAACTCAAGGCATATGCTCGAACGGGAGCTGCCTGGACGCTGCAATCATGTTGCGCACTATCCGTGCTGAGTGTGCTGACTTTTCGTACAATGTCCCACTGTCTGGCTTCCTGCATAAAGTCAAGTGCTCGGCGCAGTTGTGGCGAAATGTCGCTCCTCTGTTTTCATTTAAACAGCTCCTTATATCCGTTAGCGCAGCTAGCTAGCACCAGATGCTAACAACAACAATGCACGTAAGGTCTCTCTCTCGCTCGCTCGGGCCACACATACACACACCCTCCCGGTCCTCCTGATGGCCAGTCGGTGCCTGCCGGTGAGCGTGGAAGTGTGGTCTGCCACAAGCGGGCGGCAGGAGCGGGGCTGTCAGCGTCAGCTTGTAGATGGTATTTTAAACTCGATGCGCTCTGAAACTACGGGGCGGCCGAGGAAAAATAATACACATGCGTTAATCACGTTAAAATAATTAGTGGCGTAACATTTTTTTTATTATCGTTTATCGGTATCGGTCTTGAGAAGCAGGAAGTTATCGGTTTCAAAAAACCAATATCGTGCATCCCTACTGAAAACCTTCGTCTGCTTATTGTTTTGGATTGCGTGTCGTCAACCCCGCTCTATAGTGGCAAGAGGAAACCTTGGATGCCATTACATCAAGTCGAACAACTCCGTAAGGAAGAGACACACACCGTTTGGATCACCGGAAAAGAGGGACACACCGGAGCGGACAGACTGGGCCGGTCGTGAGTAAATACATGGAATAAATCCGTGTACGCATTGAATGGAATGTCGGATGTGTTAAAGTCTAAAAGGAAATCATAACGGCGATGCACACATTGGAGGAGGATTGTAAATACCTGTGGATCGTCTGTGAAAAGAATGTGATTGAATTTGTTTGTGCAACAAAGGAAGCCAGTAGGCGTGCTCGGTGAGACTCATTAAAGGAGCGCAACGTCTTTTACGCACGGCCTAAAAACAAACAAATAAATAATGTCGGACGATCCCAGGACTTCTGCTGACGCAGAAACATTGTTAAAATCACTCAAAGCCTCCCGCAGTGGGAAATTAGGAGCATGCACAAGGAAAATGAACGAAATGAAGGCCTTGCTTGTGGAGGATGGGAATGTGGAACATGTGAATGAAGCTTTGGAGATGTTCAAACTAAATATAAATGACTTGTGCAGTGTTCATGGATCCGTACAGCAGCTTTTATCAGAGGAGGAGAGAGAGGAGGATCATGTGGACTGGTTTGAGCCAAAAATGACACATTTTGAATATTGTATGAAAGATGTGGATGTGTGGAAAAGAGAAAAAATTGCACAATCAAAGATTCATCCCCATGACAGCATTTCTAATGTTTCACACAAGTCAAGGAGCTCAAAAACCTCTTCAGTCTCCTCAGCATGTAGAAGAGCATCTGCTGAAAAGGCTGCCCTGCTAGCCAGAGCAGCTGGGTTAAAGGACAAACATGCACTGCTATTACAACAAGCAACACTAAAAGCTGAACTGGAACAAATGGAACTGGACACAGAAATCGCAGCATCTGCTGCTAAAATAAAGGTTCTGCAAAGCATTGACGTGGAGGAAAAAATGGATGATCAAATTCAAGATGGAATCAATCAATCAATGTTTATTTATATAGCCCAATATCACAAATGTTACATTTGTCTCAGTGGACTTTACAGTTTGTACAAAATATCAGTATGACAATACAACACCCTCTGTCCTTAGACCCTCACATCGTACAAGGAAAAACTTCCGGAGAAAACCCACAGTTTAAAGGGAAAAATGGGAGAAACCTCAGGGAGAGCAACAGAGGAGGGATCCCTCTCCCAGGACGGACAGACGTGCAATAGATGCCGTGTGTAAATTGAAAAGATAATACATTTGCAACATAGGTAGTCCAAATGTTTGGAAATGCATGTGTGTATAATAGGAAGATGAATCCACGAGGATATCCATCCAGGACCTATGATCCAGGACCACAGCCACGACTCAAGATCCAGGACAGAGGAGCGCAGGATCATCCATGACTCCGGATCCCGGCGTATACAGACACCAAAAAGAAAGACATTTGGGGAAGCTGGGTTAATCGGAACATGAGAGTACACAGGTATAGACAGAGAGAAGGAAGAAGTAAGATGTCCCCCCGACAAACTAAGCCTATATCAGCAAAACTAGGGGCTGAATCTAACCAGCCCTAACTATAAGCTTTATCAAAAAGGAAGGTCTTAAGCGCACTCTTAAAAACGGATAGGCTGTCTGCCGCCCGAACACAAACTGGAAGCTGATTCCACAAATGTGGAGCTTGATAAGAAAAGGCTCTGGCTCCCATTGTACTTTTAGAGACTCTAGGAACAACCAACAACCCTGCATTCTTGGAACGCAATGCCCTAGTAGGACAGTAGGGTATAATGAGTTCTTTAAGGTAAGATGGCGCCTGCCCATTAAGGGCTTTGTAGGCGAGAAGAAGAATTTTAAATTCTATCCTGTGTTCTATAGGAACCAGTGTAAGGCAGCCAGAACAGGAGTAATGTGGTCCCTTTTCCTAACTCTGGTTAGTACACGAGCCGCAGCATTTTGAATCAGCTGAAGCGACTTGACTGACTTCTTGGTACACCCTGATAATAAAGAGTTACAATAATCCAGCCTTGAAGTAACAAATGCATGGACTAGTTTCTCTGCATCGTTTTGAGGCAAGATATGCCTGATTTTTGCAATGTTACGTAGATGGAAGTAGGCGGTCCTTGAAATTGATTTTATGTGGGCGTTAAAGGATAAATCCTGATCAAATATAACACCAAGATTCCTTACAGTCTCACTGGAGGCCAAATTAATGCCATCCATGGTTAATATATCCTTAGATAATTTGTTTCGTAGATTCTTCGGGCCAAGTACAATAACTTCAGTTTTGGTCGTGTTTAACATCAAAAAGTTTAAGGTCATCCATGGAATGAATGCTTATCTGGAGGAAAGCAAAGAAAGAAGCACAGACACTTTGGATCCTGAAATCTCAGCCATGGAGTTCATGCCATTGGGTGCAGTGCCTAAAACACCACTTCAGAGGACTGTCATTAATCTTCGCCGCCCTCAGCGACCCACAATACAGTTTAGACCTTTCAAAATGCCCACAATGCATAGCTCCACCCAACACAATGAAACCCATGATAACTTGGACACTGTTATACAGAGACAGAGAGATATTGCTGACCTCATCATTATGCAGCAGAAACTTACCTTGTTACCAACAATGGAGATAAAAGTGTTTGATGGTGATCCACTTGAATATCAGTCCTTTATGCGAGCTTTCAAACACCTTATCGAGGATAAAACAGCTAGCAGTCATGACAGGCTCTACTTTCTCAACCAGTACACTTCCGGCCAGCCCAAAGATCTCGTTCGCAGCTGCCTGCATATGGATACCCAAAGAGGTTACACAGAAGCCAAACAGCTGTTAAAGGAGCACTTTGGGGACGAGATCAAAGTAACCAGCGCTTATTTGGAAAAGGCAATGAACTGGACATCAATTAGACCGGATGATGGCAAAGCGCTTCAGGCATATGCAATGTATTTAAGAGGATGCTGCAATGCTATGCAAGATTTACAGTACATGGATGAACTAGATATTCCTTCCAATCTAAGATCAATAGTATCTAAACTCCCTTACAAACTGCGAGAAAAATGGCGGACAGTGGCTTATGATATATTACAGAGAACAAAGAAGAGAGCTAGATTTCGTGACCTTGTGGAGCTTATGGAAAAACAAGCTAAAATAATCCTGGACCCATTATTTGGGGATATACAGGATCGCCACATCTCTAGCCCAAGGATGGCCACTAGGAGCCAACCCATAATCGCAGCAGCATGTGATCAGGAGAGCAGCGCTGCACCGTCAAACACAGAGCAGCGTGGCACCTTCAAACAGCCACAAGGGGGCAGTCCTGCCTCTTTTTGCGACTTTTGTAAAGGCAAGCACGTGCTGACTGATTTCCATCAGTTCAAAAATCATCCACACAAGGAAAAGGTTGACTTTTTGAAGATAAGCGGTTATTGTTTTGGATGTTTGATGAGGGGTCATATGAGCAGGAACTGTAGGAAAAGGCTGACATGTCAAAAGTGTCAAAAGAGTCACCCAACAATACTTCACATTGACAGTCCACTTCTACAAAAGCCTCCCCCTACTGAAACAAAAGGAGCTTGGGTCAACAGTGCACTTGTCTCGGCTGGTGAAGCCACTGGGGCCGTTAGGGATTGTGCCCTAGCCATAGTGCCTGTTCGAGTCAAGGTTCACAAAGGAGATAAGTTTATCTCAACCTATGCTTTTCTTGATCCCGGCAGTTCAGCGTCATTCTGCACAGAGAATCAAATGAGACAGCTGAATCCCAAAGCACGAAAAACGACAGTCGTTCTACGAACAATGGGTCAGGAACGACTTGTAAAGAGTTACGAACTCAAAGGATTGGAGATAGGACATTTAGATGGCAGTACTTACCTTGACCTACCTCAGGTGTACACACAGAGTAAGATTCCTGTCTCAAAAGAAAATGTACCTACCCAAAAGGATCTGGAAAGATGGCCTTATCTAAGTGACATACAGCTGAAAGAAATTGATGCTGACATAGAGCTTCTAATAGGAGTTGATGTTCCTAAGGCAATGGAACAGTCAGGATAGTGTTTGGATGGGTGGTAAATGGACCACTCAACGCTTGTACTGCTGTGGAATCCGGACCTGTGGTCACAATGGTCAACAGAATATCAGTAGCCAACCTGAATGATCTCCTCATCACACAATACAATCAGGACTTCTCGGAAAAATATTATGAAGAGAAGAAGGAAATGTCAGGTGAAGGCAAAAGGTTCATGGAGATAGCATCAAGCTCAGTAGAACTCAAGGATGGACACTATCACCTACCCTTGCCTTTTCGAAAAAAGGACATAGTTATGCCTGACAACTACGAAATGGTAAAACAACGTACTCTAAATCTCCTAAAGAGGTTTAAGAGGGATGCAGAATATGCCATGGAATACAAAACATTCATGGAGGATGTGTTAAAAAAGGGTTATGCAGAGAGAGTGCCACCAGAACAGCTTAACAGGAATGATGGACAGATATGGTACATACCTCACCACGGTGTTTACCATCACCAAAAGCGCAAACTTAGAGTTGTGTTTGACGGCACTGCATCATGCAAAGGCACATCTCTTAACAAGGAACTTCTCCAAGGTCCAGACCTGGCGAACACTCTCATTGGAGTTCTGCTTGGATTCCGCCAAGAACAAATTGCTTTCATGGGGGACATTGAGGCAATGTTCTATCAAGTGCAAGTCCAGAGAGAGCACAAAGACTTCCTTAGGTTTCTGTGGTGGCCAGATGGAGACACTGAAAATTCATTGGAGGCATATAGAATGAAGGTCCACCTCTTTGGCGCTGTGTCCTCACCTAGCATTGCTAACTATGCTCTCAGACAAGTGGCAGAAGACAACAGCTTCAAGTACGACGAAGAGGTAACTGAAACAATCAATTCCAACTTTTACGTTGATGATTGCCTCAAATCCGTGGCCACAGTTGAACAAGCTATTAAGCTTATCAGAGACCTCAGAGACGCATGCGCCAAAGGAGGTTTCTCATTGACCAAATGGGTCTGTAACAACCGTGAAGTGCTTGCAAGTATACCTGAGCATCACAGAGCAAAGCTATTCAAGGATCTGGACTTTGACAGAGAAAACCTGCCAATTGAAAGAGCACTTGGAATCAAATGGGATACAGAGAAAGACTCCTTCATATTCAAAGTTAATATCAAAAACAGAGCTCTTACCAGGAGAGGGATCCTCTCTACAATCAGTTCCATCTACGACCCATTAGGATTCCTCTCCCCATTTATCCTTAAAGCCAGGCAGATCCTCCAAGAGCTATGCAGGATAAAGTGGATGGGATGAAACCATCCCAGAAGAATACTCAAAACAATGGCAGAAATGGATCACTGAGTTGGAACAGCTTAGCAGATTTCAAGTGCACAGGTGTATGAAACCTGAGAACTTTGGACAAATCAGGACTGCAGAGCTTCATCACTTCTGTGACGCAAGCGAAAAAGGTTACGGCACCACCAGCTATCTTCGCTTTACAAACAGTATGGGAAGGGTCCATGTTTCATTTATTTTGGGAAAATCCAGAGTGACTCCACTCAAACAGATCACTATTCCCAGATTGGAGCTTACTGCAGCAACACTTGCAGTAAAGGTGAACAGGATGTTGAAAAGGGAGCTTAAAGTGGACCTCAACGACTCAACCTTCTGGACAGATAGCACCTCTGTCCTCGGATACATCAGCAACCAGACTAAACGATATCACACATTTGTGGCAAACAGAGTTTCAGTGATCAAGGACCTGTCTCAGGAGAAGCAGTGTGAGCTCCATAGACAACCCTGCCGACGACGCGTCCCGTGGGCTGTATGTAGAAGACTTTCTAAAGACATCAAGGTGGATAACAGGACCTAAGTATCTGGAAAAGGAAAAGGAATATTGGCCAAAAACATCTAAGAACCTGGGCCTTATTCCATCAGAGGACCCAGAGGTTAGAAAGGACGTAGCAGTTAACAGTTCGAGTGTCCACGAAACCAACCCAACCAGCAAACTGTTTGAGTATTACTCATCATGGAGCAGACTGCAGAGAGGGGTTGCTTGGATACTTAAATTAAGGGGAATTCTTCTTCTGCTAAATCAAAGAAGGAAATCTGCAAAAGCTAACCTTGCCCCAGATTGGACTCTTTTGAAATCCTTAAAGGACAAAATGAACAAGCTAAAGTTGACATTTGGATCACAACATCTGTCTGTGGAGGACATTAGAGAAGCTGAAAGGTCAATAATTCACTCCGAGCAAAGACGTCACTTCTCTCAGGAACATGCACTTTTGGAGAAGGGAAGGCAAGTAAGAGCAAGCAGCTCTATCAGGAAGCTGGACCCAATCTTAGTTGAAGGCATGCTAAGAGTGGGAGGACGAATAAGCAAATCAGCAATGCCAATGGATCTGAAGAACCCCATTATCCTGCCCAGAGACTCTACTGTATCCAAACTGATCCTGGGCCACATCCATCAGCAGATTGGACACTCGGGGAGAAGCCACATGCTCTCAAGACTAAATCAAAGATTCTGGTTGCCTCGTGCTAACTCGGCAGCCAGAAAGATAATCAGAGCCTGTGTTTTCTGCCGAAGAATGCTAGCCACAGTTGGAGAGCAGAAAATGGCTGACCTCCCAGAGGATCGGGTGTCTCCAGATCTACCACCCTTTACTCATGTTGGTATCGACTTCTTTGGACCCCTGGAGGTTAAACGAGGCAGAGCAAATGTAAAACGTTGGGGAGTGATCTTCACCTGCCTTGTGAGTCGTGCCATACATCTGGAAGTTTCGAGCTCATTGGACACTGACTCCTGCATCAATGCTTTGCGCAGATTCATATGTCGCAGAGGGCAGGTGACAAGCATCAGGACCGACAACGGCACAAACTTTGTGGGAGCACAGAAAGAGCTAAGAGCTGCTCTTAAAGACCTGAATCAACACAAGATTCAAAATGCATTACTCGGGGACGGAGTAAATGGACTTTTAATCCGCCACATGGAGCCCACCATGGTGGAGTTTGGGAGAGGCTCATCAGACCTGTAAACAAGATTCTGTGTTCCGTTCTAAAAGAACAGAGATTGGATGATGAGACTCTACAGACAGCTTTGTGCGAAGTTGAGAGCATCATGAATGACAGACCATTGACTACAGTTTCAAGTGACCCAAACGATCTCGAACCCCTCACGCCAAATCACCTCCTTCTGCTAAAGACAAAACCGATTATGCCACCTGGGCTCTTTCACAAGGAGGACTTGTACTCACGGAGGAGATGGAGACAGGCACAATACCTCGCAGATCTCTTCTGGCGGAGATGGATAAGAGAATATCTCCCAATCATGCAACAGCGAGTCAAATGGCACAACCCCAAACGGAACCTTCGCCCCAATGATCTCGTCGTCATCGTGGATAACACTGCACCAAGAAATTCCTGGCAACTGGGCCGGGTGATAAAGACACTGTCAGGGTCCAAAGGGCTTGTCCGAAGTGTCTTGGTGAAAACCAAGGGTAGCACCTTACAGCGACCAATTGACAAGCTCTGTCTGCTCCTGGAAGCAGTTGATTGAACACAAGGTGTCATGTGCTAGTAACCTCTGACACCCAGTATCACACACACACATGCCCCCCCCTTTTCCTCTTGAACTCATGCAAACACACCTAACACAAACATTGGACTGTGAACTATGACAATGATTGTATATTGGTGACAGTTACATTTTGAGTAACTGCTTGTTTTTTGGCTCTATTATAATGTATTAATTGTTTTGCTACTGCGTCAACAATTAGGGGCCGGTATGTTAGAGCCACAAAGTTATTATTTCGATTCATAATTTGATAAATGATTTAATGATGGAAAATGATTTATATTGCCATGGTGAATATGTTTTGATGAAATTATTGTTAATTTTATACCAGAAATATGATCTGTTTCCGTGTACCTTCCGGTGTGTATTTAATTGAGGACAGCCGGTGTGCTCGGAGACCTGATGAGACGGGGAGCGGAACAGTTTTTCGACCGCAAATTGCAGACAGAGATTGGTGTTGCAAATTGGACTGCAAACAAAGTATAGTTTAGTTTATATAGGAAAGTATATCGCAGAAATATTGTTTAAGATTTGTTATTTTGAGACTATATAAGTCAATACTTTTTTGTTAATAAATTACATTTTTTTGACTGAAAACCTTCGGCTGCTTATTGTTTTGGATTGCGTGTCGTCAGCCCCGCTCTATAGTGGCAAGAGGAAACCCTTGATGCCATTACAACATTGTTATGGGGAAATGCAAGTCTGCGTCCAAATGGTTGGAAGATAAGGAGGAAGGACAATCAATACTGTATAGTAAATGTGAGGTAAAGTGTGTCGCCAAGGTAACCGGTTAAAACTCCAAGTGGAGATGAGGTCTTAAAATGTATGGAAAGGGTCTTAAAAGGTCTTACATTTGACTTCAGGATTCCTGCATATACCCTGTGTTTGTACCTTTAGCTATAATACTTTAAACAAATTGTATATTAAAGTGGCTGTTTTTAGATTTTAAACCAAAGGAAATTATCTTCAGTCACCTTCTTTACTATAAACCATAGCTAAAGAACCATTTTAAGAATTGATGTATTCCAAGTGAATGTAGATTTTGCTTTACTAATTTGTCCTGATCTCCCGCAGAGCCACTGGGCCGATGAACTGCAAATATAAGGGAGTGGAGCCCGACGTCTGAACACTCCCTTCTTAATGGACTGTGATCATAGAGAATCATGTATCAATGTGCACAGATTCAAATCTCTCCAGGATCCTGCCATGTCCAATTGTATATATCTTTTTTATTTTAATCACAAGGTACCATGTATTTTTTATGTATTCAGTATTTGTGGGAAAAAAATCAAAGTTTTAATGCATTGTGTGACAAAGGATTTGACCTAAAACATTAGTAAGTAATAAAGCGGGACAAGTTGAAACTAAAGACACTGGTCTGTTGATTGAAAGTGATTGTGGTTATGCAGTTATAGTAAATACACAGGCCCTGTTATGTTGTTGGGGTGCTCCCTCTCCTGTAGTGTGTGCTATAGCTTTCTGTGCATGTCAATGGTCTGCAGAGGCTGAACTCCCTGAGTTCCCTTCAGAGGGAGTTCCTCTCACACACACTAAAGCATGGAGACATGTTACATGAAGCTGATATTGAGCAGAATAGGGCCCCTTTAATAAAGTTGTAATGTTAGTTAGATGTTAAAGGGTGCTGATCATTTCTAAAGATTTCTATTTAAATACATGTTTTTGTTGATCAGTGTCACATGTGTAGGCAATGTGTATCTCTAAATGCATTGCTGTGGGCTCTATAACCATTTCCAATTCTCAAATGAGCTGATCTTTGGGATTTCGCATTTTGTGTCCAAATAAGGAAGGTACCTTGAATCGGGAAGAGGACCTGTTAATGGTAATACGTACATTTTGACACTACGCGCTATACACAATGTCTCTTTCACAAAGAAAGAACAGCAGCCAAACCTCTTTACATGTTTTTGTATTTATTATTCATTCATGTTAGTTGCAGTAAGAAAAGACAAACATTATCTAGGTAGCTATAATCATACAATCTGAATAAAAATACTTTCAGGAAAAGCGTTGATGTGCATTGATTAGTGATTGTACTTATATAGTAAGCACCCATTATTTGTCTTGTATTATTCACCTTGGCTGTATCATGTTAGAGCATGACTGTACCTTAAAGAAGAAACACAATCCTTCTCTTATAGAAAAGTGGAGTTAATAAGCAGCAGAGGTGGGACCAAGTCATTGTTTTGCAAGTCCGAGTCAAGTCTTTGCGCTCAAGTCCAAGTCGAGTCTCAAGTCAGGATGGGCAAGTTCAAGTCAAGTCCAAGTCCTAAACTTTGACAAAACAAGTCATTATGTGCTTTTCACCAAATGTAATGACATCGATCAACAGAATAATACTTAATAATCAAATTGCTCTTTATTAGTCACATTAATAATTTAATAATCAATTTTCTCTCTGCTGGTAAAGTAACGTGTGTTTTTCTAATTTAAGAGGGATTAGTAAGGTAAGGCTACCGTGACGGTTTGATTCAGAAGGAGTTTAATGTATAAGATCCCTGATGTTGAGGTAACCAGAATGTGTATTCCCACTGTGTACAACATGTTATAAGGGACCCACAATCTATCTTTATGCAAGGGATAATGTGCAGCGAGGCGGTCTCTATGGGGAAGAGAACACCTGCATCTAGATCCCTCTGCAGGTGGTACTTTAAGTATATATTGATGCCAATACTTTTGTACTTTTACTTGTAACATTTTGAATGCAGGACTTTTTTATTGTAACCGAGTATTCCTACACTCTGGTACTTTTGTACTCAAGATCTGAACTTCTCCCACCTCTGAGTGGTTACCAAAATAAAGGTAACCAAAAAAGGTTATTTTCATTTTACAAATCCTGCACTCAGCTTTGCTTTCTCCAATATCATTGAAAAGCAGCCAGATGCTGCTTCTTTTTTCGGTTTTCGCTCATTTCTTGACTTTTTCCGACACGCTTGCATTTAAATCCGTCTCCCCGTCGCTCTGTGCAGATGGCCTGTACCACTACACCTGCTGTGCCGCCCACCCTTCTTTCACATAATGGTATGATCCCAGTGTGTCCTCGCATATGATTGGCCGCATGGTGGCCCAGCTAAATAAAGACCCGCCCCTGCCTGCAAGGATTCTCAGCAAGAGTAGGAGCGGCTGAAGATTCTTTTCTCCCCGACGGGAGTCTTCTCTTCTAGCGGCAGCTCGCGATCGGCGTGTTGGAGACCTCTGAATTAAATGATCAAGTCACCTCAAGTCAGAAGGTTCAACTCCAAGTCAAGTCCCGAGTCATTGGTCTTCAAGTCCAAGTCGAGTCGCAAGTGTTTTGTGATTTTGTCAAGTCGAGTCTCAAGTCATCAAATTGGTGACTCGAGTCCAAGTCATGTGACTCGAGTCCACATCTCTGATAAGCAGTAATACACATCAATTGAATACACTCAGGGGTTTGTTGCTACAGTCTTACTTGGTATGAGCAGTAACGTATAGTGGCTAATGTTAGCACACTTTAGAAGACCTGTTTACGACTTCATGACGTTTATCTACTTATGCTACATTTGAGCATTTCCCATTAGTATGTAATTCCCTCCTATTGCTAGAGATCAGCCAGAGTTACTTCCACTTCTTCAATATCTTTCTGTATATATTTTAGGCATTTATCCCTTAAAAATAACATTTCTACCTTTAATATTTTTTTAATGCATGCTTCTTGGGTAATATTAAGCTGTCTTTGGCTCTTTTCTTGCTGTAACAAATGCACATTTCCCCTCTATGGGATGAATAAAGGTATTCTGATTGTTGTTACTACTGTAGCATTTTAAAGATCAAAATAGACTGAGATTAATTGTATTATTAGAGATGAAATGAAAAATGTGCAGAAGCGTGATAATGTAATTTGATACTTTAAAAAGTACATTTTTCAAGATGTATTCATTATTTTTATTCCAAGCTGTGAACACATTTTCTTTTACATTTGATCGGGTTATGAGCATGGTCTGGTGCTTTCACTGAGTTGATCTCTTAGCCTGCAACCTAACCTGCTCCGGAGCAGGTTAGCCGTTCAGCATCAGTTACCATGGAGATCTAGCCCGCTAAAAAGAGAACCAGCGTCGTAGGACCGGAAACCCAGAGTTTTACCTGAAGTTAGCCAGCTAAGCCAAAATCCAGCTTCGTAGTACAGGCCTCTGGTCTCCTTTAAGCTCTGGTTTGGTCTCACCAAGTCTTTAAACATAACAACTGTCTCATAAGCTGCTCAAACAAACCCCTTTCACATTTCACATAGTTATTTGATACATTGGTTATACAAAAATGTTGATTAGTGCACTTTTACATTTTCTGTAGCATTTGTGTGTAGCTGAACATCTGTTTGCCCCTCACAGCTGGGCGGGGGGTGCCTGCACCGTGATCACCGGCTGAGGGGGGCAAACAAGAACAAATGTTAACACCTGCTGCGTTCAAAGCTACTATAGTAATGTACTGGTCTTTGAAATGGATGCTTGTATAACACATAGTTATATTATATCTGTTGATCTATGGGTTGTGCACCTCCCTCCACATCTACACCCACAGGACCCCCTTGTTGTTTGGGGGCACTAGTTACTGTTAGGGGCTGCGGACAGCATAGGGTGAAGTTTAATAGTAAAATAACCTATTTCTAGGAAAAAGTAACAGTCTTTGGTATACAAATTAAATTTTTTGGTGACTGGCCTCCTTACTTTAATAATGTCAGAAAAGTATTACTTATCTATTGGTTTTTCAATTTCCTTCTCCATTTCGGCCTATAACTGGTGTGTGTTTAAGTGTATATATTTCAACGGTAATGAAGAAAGCTTTGTTTGAATGTGTGCAATGCCTGTGAATGTCTAGTCTTAATTTAGTGACATTCTGATCATTTTTGTGGACACAATCCTTTTTAAAGAAGATTACATGTTTTACTTTTTATTTGTAAGGGAAATTATACAAACATGGACCAATAAAACTAATTTTGCAGTAAAATATATTTTTAGAACCGTGTATTTCAGAGACTAGACATCTTGAAGGAATGAAAACACCATTGTGCTTTGTTCTACCTCTCTAAAAGGTATCTCAAAAACTAACACATTTATTCCTCTCCTATGAGGGTCCGAACATGACCCTCATAGGAGGCCCTCCATCTTCATTTCTCTGGTCGTTTGGTATGTATTCAGGCAGTATTCAAACACAGAGGACCTCCATGATGAAACCAGTGGTTCAGAGAGTTGTTGACTCACCATTTTGGGGGCTGGCGAGCAGCAGTTGGTCACCTTGCAGCAGTAGGCGGCCATAGTGATGGAGATGGTCACCAGGGCAACGTTAATGAGAACACACACGGAAGAGAAGTGTGAAATCGTTCCCTGTAATGGGATCAGCAAATGTGCAGAAATGATGCTTTAACAGAATAAAGAATACTAAATAAAAAAAATTGTACATTTCTAGGATTAGACTTCCACAGAAATTTGAAATGCGTATTATTATTATTATTTCAGCAACATATCAAAACTATTCATCATTTTCATAATAATAGTATAATCAGAACCTAATGTAACAAAATCACTTAAAACGTAACAAGCTAAATATTTCAGAAACAGAAATATCATTGAAAAAATCGCTAACAATTAAAGAATAAACTCAGTAACTTTGAATGTGAAAATATTTGTTGTTCTAAAAACAAGCATTCCACTTACAGGAGTCTCATTATCCAACTCAAATGAAGTATTAAGTTAAAAGTCTGGATCTTATAAGAGCTCACCTCTATGTTATGGCAGTACTCTCTGGAGGTGGAGTTCTGGTCATAGTAGTATTGCATGCAGAAGTAGGGTATATCATTCATTTTAACCAGAGCGAAGATCATGTTGGTGATGGAGGCGGGGACAGCCACGATCTGCATCCCCAAACACGCCCTCAGCTGAAGAGCACGAGATACAAGACACAACATTTGTTTTAAATGACACCTGTTTGCTTTGTTTTAGAAGATATTTACAGACGTGATAAAATAACAGAGAATTACTTGATATTTCAATTAGGAAATGAAAACAGCAAAGCAAATCCTGTTCAATCCACTGTCCAATGTACTAGGTGTACTAACGTTTTCAATTGCCACAACTGGGATTACCCACTTCACTCTTATCCGTAGTCTCTTAAAGTGGACATTTCCACACACAAAAAAAATCATCTTTCAATGCATGTTTAGGTAAGAACATATCCTTAAACTGTAAAATAACTCCCCATGCAGGCCAGTAGAATACAGACCTATCTTAAAGAGACAGGCGCTAAAACGGAGCGTTCCAGACGTGAGAAAAAGAATGTTCAACTAGAAACCCAAAATATACTGTAAGTATGAACCAGAAAATGTTCATTATACATCCCCTTTAAGTCACAGCCACTCTGGTGTTTAGCTTCCCTGCACTGATCCTTTAATAAATGGTTCCTTCTTCCACTGCGTGCGACCAGTTGAAGGAGCAAAATGGCTGACAAATCCAACTGCTCCTATAGAGGAAGTGACTGATCAGTTCTGTTTTTGTGGATTGTATAAAAGTGCAAACTAGTCCTAAATTCCTATGACAAGACATTTTGACATGTTCCATTGTATATTAAAGCAAGTACGCCTGGATATTTGTGTTTGGTACTAGTTATTATGTGGCTCATATATAATTGGTGATCCTGTGAGATTTGAGAGATATTAGTGTCCAGCCGGTAACTCACCGTTGGGAGATGCAGGTTCTGTGCTGCTATGGTCAAACTCCCAGCTATTAACACCTGTGAACAGAACAGGAATCATGTGAGCACGCTAACCTTCAATCACTCTGCAGCAGTGTTATAATTGGCACCTTAGGCCCCCCTACACATAGAACATGTAAAACAACATGGTGGAATTCAATGGGCTTTACAAAAGACAACTAACGCAACAAAAATATTTTATAAAATCACTTCAAATACATTTACAGTCATGAACAAGCCACGACAAAGATAAATCAAATAATAAATAAATAATAACTGCTCCATCTTGTGTTCTGCTAATGAGGAATGAATATTAAAAGTTCTGGATATGCTTACCAGTAGAGATAAGATGATGACCGGTATGCCAGTGGGAGTAACACTCAGGCCTTTGGACATGAACAGCACCGAGCTGATGATCTGAAACAGACTGAGGCCGATCTGAGTGATCTGGAGAACAGAGAGAACATCTTAAGATGACAAGCTCAGGCTCTGTAGAGCAGAGGTGGGAAGTAACTAAGTACAATTACTTAGGAACTGTACTTAAGTACAATTTTGAGGTACTTTACTTGAGTATTTCCATTTCATGCTACTTAATACCTCGAATACATTTAAGAGGTAAATACTGTCATTTTACTCCACTACATTTATTTAACAGCTTTAGGTACTTTTAACAATGCATCTCTAAACATTAAACTAGTCGACTAACTTTTTAAGTCAAATTATTAAAATATTTTAAAGTCATTTTAAAGTCAATCAGAACTGTGTTAGTCTACAACAGTAAAATGCTACTTGATGCAAAAATATTATTTAGAAAGGTCACATATATAAATATAATGATATACACACATAAAGACATTTTCTGCATAATGAATACTTTTACTTTTTAAACCGTAAGTACACTTTGCTTATAATAATGTATTGGTACTTCTGTCTGACACACACACACACACACACACACACACACACACACACACACACACACACACACACACACACACACACACACACACACACACACACCACACACCACACACACACACACACACACACACACACACACACACACACACACACACACACACACACACACACACACACACACACACACACACACACACACACACACACACACACACACAGTACCCCCAGAGCTTTGGGCTCAGCCTCCAGGTACTTCTGTTTCCAGTTGACGTTCCTCTCGAAGCTGACTGACACCAGGGGGGTCTGAGAGGGGGGGAGACCCTCCTCCACAACTGATGCTTCCTCTGAAAAAGACACAGGTATCTTACTCTCCTTATAAAGTAACAAAGTGCAGGAAAAGTAGATCGGGAAGCAGAAGAAGTGCGTCTGTTGCGGGTGCGTGTGTAGCGGAAGTGAGCCGCAGTATTAAAAGCAGAAAGCATCTGGATTGCATCACAAACACAATAACGGTATTTCCTCCGTGTTAGCTAAACGCCAGTAAACAATGTGACAACAGAAAGCGTGCTTTTACCGGCCATGGTCCTGGTATCCACCTTCACTTCCACTTTTAAACGTGTTTTCGAAGTTCCAGGCTGCAGATCGGACGTTTTGCAACAACTCGGACTGATGCTTTTTGGGAGTTCGAGTCCCTCCCTCCTGGCTCTGCATCAAGACTCCCCTCAGACACATATCAGCTGATTATATCCGGGATCAGAGCCGGCCCTAGACACTTTAGTGCCCTAGGCGAGATTATGATTTGGTGCCCCCCAAGCAATACTCAATAGAATATATAAAAAATAAATGAAAAATCTCTACAAAAGACCAATACACTACAAACACTGAAACGTATTGACATGTTGGTTATGTACATAAAGAAGGTTTCAAATGTATTCATTAGTATATGAACATGCTTTAATTGGGGAGTGGACGTCACATCCTCTAGGGGGGTCCGGGGGTCTGCCCCCCCCGGAAAGATTTGTTTTAACATTTTAAAGTAAAATGCTTCAATCTGGTGCACTTTGAGTAGAATTACTAGAGACCAGATATAGGGAGTACAACTCTAAAACACCCATATGAAAAAGATCGGTTTACATTTTAATAATCAAATAAGTATGTGAACATAACCAACAACCTACCATAGCCAATAACAAATACATGTAACTTATTTCATTTTTGTTGATCATTTTTACCTAGTTAACATTTATTTATGCATATTTTTTAATATCTCCAGTTTTAAATGATATTTTAGTGGGAATGCTATCAGCATTCCCACTATCTGTTATGCTACGCACAAAATTATTTATTATTCCACCTGGTTATTTTGCACCTCTTCTTCTCCCACATATCAAATCGCAGAAACTCCGTTCAAACATCAAAACGTTCAGCTCAGTCGGGAATTGATGGCTATTACTTTTCTTATTCATAACTTTCATAATTCCAGAGATACATCCCATAATTCATCATATTTTAACATGGAAGTCAATGGAGAAACTCTTCAGACTTGAACAATCTTCATGCGACTTCAACTGCTAACTGTTCATTAATACTTTCACTCAGAAACCTCATTCCAACTTTAAAACCTGGATAAATAAAGGTTTGAAATGAAATGAAATGAAAATGTTCTTTCTGACATTATTCATGTAACACAACTTTTAAATCTGATTCTGATTTTAGAGTGCGTGATGTCACAGCTAGAGTGGAGGACAGATTAATTTTGCCTTCATATTTTCTTTTAAACCTGCCATAATTCCCAAACCCTACATTCCTGAGACATAATTCTTCATGACAAACGTAGGAAAACATCTCGTAGCTTGAAAGATAAAAACAAATTAAGCAAAAATAATTAAACAAAATGCCTCTTGAGGGCATGAAGTGACAACAACTTTCAACATGTCTCCATTAAAGCCCATTGTATGTTCAGCCTCATCTTTCCCCACCACAGCAGCCGCACACCTTTAGTTAATCTGCCAAAAAGGCCACATTATTAACCCGAAAGTACACAAAAAGGGGAGGGGAGGAGAAAACTAGGTGGCCACAAAACTAGGGCCACCAGGGTGGGTGGAGGGGGTCTGGAGGACGGGTTTTGGGCTGACAGCCCAGGAGCACAGCGGAGGACCCGGAAGGGATCTCGGGCGGACGGCCCGGGGGCAAGGCAGAGTCCATGGTGGGGGTCTCGGGCGGACGGCCCGGGGGCAAGGCAGAGTCTATGGTGGGGGTCTCGGGCGGACGGCCCGGGAGCAAGAGACCATGGGGGGGCGAAGGCCACAGCGGGCAAACTCAGGGGGCCAAGCATGAGGGCGAAGGCAGCGGCAGGAAGAGTCAGGGGGCCGGGCCCGAGGGCGAGGACCACGGCCGGGAAAGTCAGGGGGCCGGGCTCGAAGAGTGAAGACCTCGGCTCTCAGGGGGCCGGGCTCGAGGGCGAAGACCGCGGCTCTCAGGGGGCCGGGCTTGAGGGCGAAGACCGCGGCTCTCAGGGGGCCAGGCTCGAGGGCGAAGACCAGACAGCTCCGGAGGCCGGGCAGGAAGGCGCTGATGGGACATCTCCAGAGGCCGGGCAGGACCCGGTGTCGGCCGGACAGGAACCGGAGCCGGTGGGACAGGCTTCGGCAGGATTCCTCACGGAAGAGGACCAGGAGTTGGCAGTACCCCCAGCGAGACAGGTGATGGCGGGACCTCCAACGGAACAAGACATGGGATTGGCAGGACTCTCAGCGGGTCCTCCAACGGAACAGGACATGGGATTGGCAGAACCCCCGGCAGAAGAGTAGTCGGCGGGACCCCCAACGGGACAGGACATGGAGCTGGCAGGAACCCCAGCGGAACCTCCAACGGCACAGGACATAGGGTTGGCAGGACCCCCGGCAGAAGAGTCGGCGGCGGGACCCCCAACGGGACAGGACACAGGGTTGGCAGGACCCCCGGCAGGGAGAGTAGTCGGCGGGACCTCCAACGGCACAGGACATAGGGTTGACAGGACCCCGGCAGGAGAGTAGTCGGCGGAACCTCCAACGGCACAGGACATAGGGTTGGCAGAACCCCCGGCAGAAGAGTAGTCGGCGGGACCCCGAACAGGACAGGACACAGGGCTGGCAGGACCCCCGGCAGAAGAGTAGTCGGCGGGTCCCCCAACGGGACAGGACATAGAGTTGGCAGGACCCCCAGCGGAACCTCCAACGGCACAGGACATAGGGTTGGCAGGACCCCCAGCAGAAGAGTAGACGGCGGGGCCTCCAACGGCACAGGACACAGGGTTGGCAGGACCCCCGGCAGAAGAGCAGTCGGCGGGACCCCCAACGGGACAGGACATAGAGTTGGCAGGACCCCCAGCGGAACCTCCAACGGCACTTGAGTAGGGACTTGAGTTGGGACTCGAGAGAGGGCTTGAGAGGGAACTTGAGAGGTGACTTGAGAGGGATCTCGAGAGGGGACCCGAGAGGGGACTTGAGAGGGGACTTGAGAGGGGACTTGAGAGGGGACTTGTGTCTGCCGGTACGCCGACAGGACACGGGGAGCTGGCGTCGGCTGGAGAGCCAACAGGAGACGAGGTGCTGGAGTCGGGCCGGTACGCCGACAGGACTCGGGGAGCTGGCGTCGGCCGGTAAGCCAGTCCTGGAGCCGAAACTGGAGTCGGGACCATGGCTGCTGGGGCCGGAACCATGGCTGCTGGGGCCGGAACCATGGCTGCTGGGGCCAGGACTGGGGCTGGGACCATGGCTGTGTGGGCCGGTTCTGTAGCCGGAACCATGGCTGCTGGGCACGGAACCGGAACACGGAACCATGGCTGTGTGGGATGGTACTGGAGCACGGAACCATGGCTGCTGGGGCCGGAACCATGGCCCCTGGGGCCAGAACTGTGACCGGAATCATGGCTCTTGGGGCTCGGGCTGCTAGCCTGGACTTGCGACTCCTTCTCTTAGAAGCTGCCTGAAGGCTCCGTGGACCTCCAAAAGCCAGACGAGTTCCAGAACACGACTCCTGGACAGGAGCAGGAACCCACTGAGGCGTATGGTGCCAGGTTGGGAATTGGGAGGCAGGGAGCTAGCATGCCTGGGGCTAGCAGGCCGGGAATCACACACCGAGAGGAAATCCAAAATCCAGTCAGGTAAGAATTTCACTAAACCAGGTTTCTCCATAGCCATCTGGTGCGCCTCAGCCAGAGCAGCCTCTCGCTGCTGAACTCCAGACTCTCCCCTCCACTTATCAGAGCAGCCAGCCAAAGAAAAGGAAAAACTGAGTAATTCCAGCTCAAAAGGATCTGCTGGGCCCATCCTTGGTTGGTTCGTACTGTTACGGTGGGTGAAGCAAGCAGGACCCAAATGCAGATTACACTAATATTGCCTTTATTTCAATGATAAAATAATAACTTGGACAAAACAAAACACTCACCAGTGAACTCAGTCACAAACAAAAGACGAACCAACACTGAACACAGGAAGAGACAAGACTAAATACAGGGAGGGGTAATAGCAAGACGAGAAACAGCCGGGCAGGGGAGGAGAAACACAAGGGCCACAGGTGAACACAATCAGACAACTAGACACACCAGGGAAACTAATGACAGGAGGAAAAACACAGGGAAAAGGACCAGACAATATACCAAGAGGAAAACACCCATAACCAGACATACAAAACTACAACCGTGACATAACATGAGAATCCTGACAGCACCTACTTGGAAACACACATTTACAAATGGAAATGGAAATATTAATAAAATATTATTTGAACATGAAAAACAATATCAATAGACAGTAACAAGGAAAAACAATTCAACATATTATGGAACAAAATATACGAAGCTCTAGACGAAATGAGCCACAGGACCACCCTAAATCCAAACATATTGAGTAACACTTAAAAATCTCAAGCGTGTGTGTGTTTGTGTGTGTGTGTGTGTGTGTGTGTGTGTGTGTGTGTGTGTGTGTGTGTGTGTGTGTGTGTGTGTGTGTGTGTGTGTGTGTGTGTGTTTGCGTCAGTTTGGGAAGGGAGGCATGTGGGAGGGGGGAAGGTTTTGTCATTGTTTGTTTGTTTGCTTTGAAAACAAGAGTGGGGATGAAATATAATTGAACGACAACCATTTCATTAAATCTGTTGTTCTCTTATATGTTTATATTTTCATTTTCATATACCCTTTAAAATGTCAATGCCATCTCATTTTTGTATTTGTTGGTGATAATTATTTTTTCTCTGTGTCATGTTAAAATCTTGAATGTAATGTCATTTTACCCCCACTCATCCTGTACAAAATAGAATTATACAAACAAAAAAGATGTACCAAAATATATATGTCTGTCTGCTGTGTACAGACTATTATTCGTTTTGGAAAGTGATCTGAAGTTATTAGGCCACATGACATCTATTGAACAGACAGATAACCCCACACCCCCTCTCCACCTGCAGCTGGACAGACAGATAATCCCACCCCCCTCTCCACCTGCAGCTGGACAGACAGATAACCCCACCCCCCTCTCCACCTGCAGCAGGACAGACAGATGACCCCACCCCCCTCTCCACCTGCAGCTGGACAGACAGATAACCCCACCCCCCTCTCCACCTGCAGCTGGACAGACAGATAACCCCACCCCCCTCTCCACCTGCAGCAGGACAGACAGATAACCCCACCCCCCCTCTCCACCTGCAGCAGGACAGACAGATGACCCCACCCCCCTCTCCACCTGCAGCTGGACAGACAGATAACCCCACCCCCCTCTCCACCTGCAGCTGGACAGACAGATGACCCCACCCCCCTCTCCACCTGCAGCAGGACAGACAGATAACCCCACCCCCCTCTCCACCTGCAGCTGGACAGACAGATAACCCCACCCCCCTCTCCACCTGCAGGACAGACAGCGGAGCTCCTTCTCCAACAGACTGCTGCAGCTCTGCTGTCACAAGGACCAATACAGGACAACATTCCTGCACTGTAATAACTCTGTACAACAAATCACCTCTGGCTGGAAGAGAACAATCTGCTCCATAGTTGTTCTCTTCGCTGTACATTTACATTTTTATATTCAGTTTAATATTTAATATTCCCTATGTCAAATACTTATGTATATATAATCTCTTGCTGTATATCTTGTTATTGTTAATTTGTAAATTCAACATGTATATTTTCTACTTTCTTGTTTATTTCTTGTCTTTTAATTTTTATCGTACAATGCCATGTCTTTGTATGCTGCTGCAACACAAAAATGTCCAAATTGGGATCAATAAAGTACTATCTCATCTTATCTTATCTTAAACTGCAGGAGGAGGTGTCTGTCGAATATCCAACCTCAAACTAACTTCACCGCGGTTTTTCGAATCCCGCCCCTCGTCTGGCTCTACAGGTCTCCCCAAAGCTGTCAATCAAACACAGCTTGTTTACTAAAGTACTAACCTGAGTTTTTATAAAAATGTATCACCTTTTTTCTGATAAATGTATTCCAAATGATTCGTGGCTTCATGTACATCACTGGCTATACCCAAAGGGTTTTGGACAGCAAACCTATTAGAATTATTTATCTCTTTTCTTGGACAGTTGCAAAGGTTACTTTTTAGTTAACACTATCTTTATCCTTAAGTGTTGTGTATTTCATAATGACTTTCTTACCTTTATAAAAATCCTTAATATGATAAATGTGTTAGCAGCTAAATTGCTCAATATAATAGAAGAATATGATTGACATAAAAAGCCCTAGCCCTTTAATATAATTTGTTTTATTATTGTTTATTTGATGTCTTATCTGTTTCTGATTTGTAATTTATTTTTGTAAGAACTGGATGTGAATTTTTCAAATAATAAAATACATCTCAGACCTTTGTTGGCAGGTTATGATACATTGGGTTCCTGGGTACAGACCTTATAGCTGTTATTTATGTCTCATGTTAAAAGCCCATCCTGTCCTTCGTAGAGCAGGACACACAGGCAGGTGTATTGCGTCTTTCTGTTCTTCTTTTCATCTCTCTGTGGTTTTGTGTCTCCCAGTTGTGTTGTGTCTCAGTGTGGTCATTCTGTATTCCCTTGTACTGGTCCTGTGTCACTGTGTCCTGTTTTGTTCTATGTGTACCTGTGTTGTGTGTCCTCATTCATTGTGTGTCTTGTTCTGTTTGTTTAGCATCTCTTTCAGTTGCTTTGGTCTGCTTTAGTCACTTTGTGTTTCTGTAGGGTCATTTTCATATATAATAATAATAATAATAATAATGCATTACATTTTTGATTAGAGCGCTTTTACAGGTGCTCAAAGCGCTTTACAAGTACACATTACATTATGTATGACAACCAGTCACTAGCAAAGCAATTGTAACACTTTTCTTGATAACTCACCCCCATGTCAAAGTAACGTTTCTATCCATCTCTATTCATAACCAACGACAAATACTTTAAGAAGGTAGCAGAGTGAATTATCTAAAGAGTAAAAAGCAGAAGGTATAAGGTATCTGCTGAGGAAAGAATGAATTATTCTAAGTAGGGTTGGTGTACTATACAAAGTGGCAAAGACTTACAGAAAACACACACACTTAGAAATACATCAGTATTTATTGGCACAGGAAGTTAACAACAGGTAAAAGTGCTCACATACTGGATAAACTACATGCAGCAACGTCCCTCATTTCAGTTCTCATCCTGTCTTCAGAGCATCACCTGATAGGCAAACCTGGAACTGCAGCTGTGAGCAGCAGATCTTCATCCCGTCTCTTTTATCTGAAGCTGACCGTGACTGAGATATTAACACAGGGACGGACAGGATGACACACACCACAGCCGCCAAGCCTCTGCTCCTTTCCAAAGTATTATTCAAATAAGCTTGGCCTACTTTTAGTAACATTTCAAGGGTCAAACATGTTCTCATCTGACCAGATACTTTTCGTTTTTTTTATCCAGGTTTTGAGAAAGCTGCCTCTGAAATGTCTGCTTCCACTCCAGAATAACACAGCATTGAAAAATGACATTTGAGAAACGTACGGGTTGTCAATGTCCTAGTCACCCTATGCAATCCAGATTCTGGAAAAACATGAGCCACGATTTACTATTCAAACGTCCCTTTTCAATGCTTTGAGGCACACCAATGAAATTCTGTTTACCTTAATTGTGTTAAATTGGAAGCAGACGTTTTAGAAGCAAATATCTCAAGACTTGAGTGCATACAACTGAAACCACCTGGCTATAGGTAGACAGAGGAAGGGAGAAAAAATGTCCCTTTATTATATGGATGAATTGTCCTTTAAAATGAAGCTTAGACTTAGTGATTCGAATTTGGGGATTGTATTATACCTGTGTACATACATTGCAATTCTGCATCATAATACTTAACTGTTGATCTTGGAGACGATACAGAAAATAATCTTACCATAAGGATTATTTAGTATCTGCTCTGGGCTTCTGATCACATCACATGACCTTCATCTGCAGATGGAGTTTGCTGTGTTGTCACTGAATTGTAGATGTTTGTGTTTGAAGTAAAAAGGAAGAAGATCATGTGACAAGAAGAAAGCTCCATGTCAGCAACTAAACGCACATTGTGGTGGGATTGTTTTCTCAGCAGTATCATTTTTGTTGTTGTCAGTTCTGCAGATTTAAAGCATCAGGTGGATATTATGGGAATTATGCTTATTTGCTCTTTTCATTGGGAGTTAGATGTCTGTACATATTTATGTGGAGCTAGAGCACAAGTGAACATTAGCTTAGCGTAGCATAAAGTCTGGAATATCAGAGAAGCGATAAGCCTATTTCCCAAAAGTCAAACTATTCCTCTATGTATTCCTCTAGTATGGTGTGTAGAAGTAGACTGGCTTCCAGAGATGTGATGAATGATGAATGTGTACTTCAAAAGACAGACTCATTACTTTACCACACAGACCATCCATCCACGCATTTATGTAAAAGACAGCATCAACTACATATTGTATGAAAATAGACAAAGGCAATGAAGTTGTGACAGTAATCAGTGCAATTATTATGGGGTTAAAACATTCCTGGTAAACATCCCTCTAATTTTCCCTTTGTGCCTATTAATCAAGCAGTTAGTATAATCACGTGACGTAAATGATTGGAGGACTTCCCTTTAAAAACATTTAGTCCCTGATTTAAAAAAACAAACAAAGGAATGACAAAATATTTCCAAATAAACCTTAACAAATTAATACAAATTAACGTTATCGTGTGTTTCCTCGTGTAAGCAAGCTGAATTAGTTTAAGATAGAAGATAAGTTAACATCTGACCTATTTGTCAATGTCCCTTCAAAGTGTGTAGTCTGATAAAGAGTGACATCATTACCCCAGTGCGGACCACTGATACCTGCTGTCTGCGGGGGAGTGACCTGAACTGATTTAATGAGACTGTGGTCAGTTTCTATGAAGGTGTCAGTCTGTATAGATGTGTCATTATTAGCATCATCATTTGTAGTCTCCCAATATAACAATGCTTCTTCAGACACTGTTTTTGTTTATGTATTGCATTGTATTTGAATTACTGACCTGAATTCAAATGTGTTTTAAGATTTGAAAACTTTAAATTAAATTATTAATACAGCATTTAAAGACATAATAGATGGATTATTTAGTAAATTCCCTTTTTTAAGTGTTTATTTTACTTTGATTGTATGAGTTTGATAGAAAATAAGTCTACAATTATTGCTGTGACACACTCCAGCCTCCGTACTCAGGACTTTAGTTAAAACACTGTTATTAACTGTAAATAAGCTAAACCAAGACATAAAATAACTGAATAATGACCCGATAGGCTTTAGTGGAAGTGCCCTTTATCCCCTTTACAAAGACCCCAGCCTCACTGACTTTTGTCTATAATGGGAGTGACCTCTGAGTGACCTCTGACAGAAGTGCCTCCTCACAGAGGCTGGTAGCCACCAGTCTTCCTCCTGCGGCCCAGCAGGTAGGCCACCAACACGATGATGATGAGAATCAGCAATGTCACCCCCACAGCGATGGCAACGCGGTAGTCAGACTTGTCAACAGCACAGGGGTCGGCTGGAACACACACACACACACACACACACACACACACACACACACACACACACACACACACACACACACACACACACACACACACACACACACACACACACACACACACACACACACACACACACACACACACACACACAGTGAACATCATGAGAAGTCAGTCAATCAATGAAGTCTTAAATTGTATACTTTACTGATATACTTACTCTGTATGGCAGTCTAACACTGCCAACATAATGACATCATACCACAAATCTTGAAATGCTTGAATCCAAATGTTCAAGTTTGGAAATAATAACAAAATCAAATTGAGAATAAACGCTTATATTTAAAAAAAATTCACAATGCACTTTTGTGAGATGTTTCAAAGTGAAACATGATGACCATAAATATGCAATTTTAATTTGATTGCTCAAATCAACAAAAAAGGCTGTTTGCAATTTCCTTTTTAAGTTTAGTTTGCAAATTGCCTCACAGTTTGAAAATGACAATGAAAAATGTCCTAAGTGTACAAAGTCTTTACCATTATGGTAGTGCTATGCTCAAGAGTACACTGACAAATATTTGTCCACAGTGTTCAATTTAAATTCACACAATAGTAATTATAATATAATTAATGTATTAAGATTATTTGATGTAGATATTGGCCGCCTCCAGACTTCCATAAGCTTAGCAAGAGTAGAACAAAATCAATATGAGTTGATGTTGTTTTATACTGTTCACTCTAAATTACTGTAAGTACATGCTGAGAGCGATTGGGCATTGAATGTGAAACGTTGCAGCATGAATTAGATGCTAGGCCAGCGGTTCCCAACCTTTTTCAACTCAGGGCCCACTTAAGAATCAAAAAAGGTTTTGTGTCCCACATTCAACCATAAACAATATGGAGGCTAAATAAAGTTCTGATTGGTCAATTCAGAACATGTGACATGTGGTTAATCCAGTAGTACAGACCGCTGTCAAGGACTGTAATGACCGTTGCTAAGGAGGATCAAGAAAGAGAAAGGAAAAGAGGTTCAAATAAATAAAAAAAATCTTAATAATGGAATGTTTTTACACAAATCAGAATGTTTTGCAAATTATTACAGGTTGGGAACCGCTGTGCTAGGCTACCAATGTGATTATGGAGCCATGACAAGTGGGCAACATATTGTATTGATAAGACACTTACGCAGGCCAAAATCGCTGCTCTTGGTCAGATTGTAGGCCTGCATCCGGTCTTGATTGACCTCCAGGACCAGTCCACTCCCCAGGTCGATTGATTCATGCGTGCAGGAGTAGGAGTGTCCGATATTGGCAGGGAAGAGACGCAGCGACTTGTTACTGGCAGTGTACGTGGTTTTATCTGCAACAGTAAGAGAAAAACAATTCTCAGATGCATTCAGGAAATAAAAACAATTTCAACAACAACAAACGCCGATGTTCAGATATGGAGCCAAACTTGTTTGACTGCATTGTGCTGAAAGTAGGTTGGTTGTTACCAGAATCACATGCTTAAAATAATTACAAAGACAATATTCGTATCTAGTTGAACAGACACACATGCAAACAAGGGAGTTGTTGGCTCTGGTTCATATTTGCCAGCCTTTCACAACCCCCACCTGCAGCTGAAATATCAGTGTACATGCAGTGACCTGATTAGTCTAAAGTTTACTCAATAAAATGACAGTTACTCCTATTTAGAGTCACAAATAAGTGTACAGAGTATTCCCAACTCACCGTCTTTGGCGAAGGGGTAGTAGAGGCTGAAAGACAGTTCATCGACGAAGACTTCAGAAGCACTCTGAGGAAAGAAAAGACGTGTTTATGAACAAACAGGATGATCCTTTTTTGGCAGGCTCTATTGTCTTCTGTGCTGCACTTTATCTATAGTGCAAGCATGTTGACTTGTTTGTGGGGCTGGGTTATTTTACAGGATGTTGAAGAACAGAAATGTTTTTAAAGCTCAAAACAGGTAGAGGAAGGTTGTTTCAGAAAGTATACTGCTGTACTATACTTACTGTAGTTCTATGAATTCACTGACACAATTTGAAGGTTGACTTTATTAGTAAACTAATATTAGGTTTAAATAAAAAATAATTTTTACTGACTTCATTAAATTATGTGTAATCTTTTTACATAATACATTTAATTGTGTACCAAAAAATGAAAGTTTTTAAGTTCATAACTTTAAATAGCGGACAATTGTTCAGAGTTAAACCTAAATAGGTTCAATAATGGTTCAAATACATATAAAAACTCAATGAGCACATCAGCTAAACAACTAGATGATAAATCAATTACTGAAAATGAATCAACTTTTAGGATAACTGACCTTGAACTCTGAGAAAGCGTAATTGGTGGTATTTAAATATTTTTAGTCGACTGCAAAATCTTTGACTGAATCACCCAGCGCTGAGGAGTGAGCGAGTGAGGCACGCCCTGTCACAAGCTCCCAGAACAAGCCTGTCAACATACTTCCTTTTTTTTTTAATTAACATTTCTCAGATTTCAGTTCTTAAAATGTACCTGTGAATCCACTTGTTATTCATCAAAGATTAAACAGTATTTATATGCTGAAGATTTTAAGTAAGCTTGCCAAATCAGTGTGAACAAATTCAATTACAGCATATGGTTCTTACATTGTTTTTTCCATATTGACAGCTCATAGCATTATACTTCCATACTTATGACAAATCCACTACATTTGTTCAAATCCACTAAAGTACCTTGTTGAACCTGAAGTAGATGAAGCCCTCTGTGAAGGTAAGGTTAAGGGTTGCGTATTTTGCCGAACAACTTCCAGTTGCTTTGGTCATTTTTGGTTGAACGATGAAGGTTCCATTGGCCTGAAAGATAAACAAGAGAAAAATCAGGCAATGGAAGGAGCACCTTGTGGGGAGTTTTCCAGATGAACTAGTTATCTTTAGAGAAACAACATTTCATTGTCATGTTGAATTAACAATTGTCATATGACACAAAGATGAGTCACATCTAACCTTTCCTCAATTGCACTATAATGAGGAAATCAAAACGTTTTCATGGCAACATTTTCTTAACTCCTGAAAATAAGATGCTGACAATTTCATCGCTAAAGGCTGAGTCAGGGGATCAGGAAGAAACTTCTATCCATGTTGACAAATTCTTAAATGGCTTAAAAAATCTTGATTGCATGGTGAACAATTACAATCTACTAAAAGAAAATGAGGCCTTTAAACTAACTACATTGAAAAAACTGAAATGTTGACTTTTATGAAATATATTATGTCAACAGATTTCACATAACTGTATGAGGTTAGTTGAAAGCAAAAATATTACATTTAAATAGGTACTACTTAATATTATTGCTTTCACTGGTACAGTCTGCTCAAAAGCTTCAGTGCTTTAATCACGATTCAAATAAATTATGTCACTTAAATGTATTATGTCAAATTTGTTGACATAATATATGTAATTAAAGTCAACGGTTCAGTTTTTTCAGTGTACTCCGGGGCTCTTGTTGTGTCTATGGTGACTAATGAACTGTACCTTTGGTGTAGCCAGTCGGATCAGTACTGCCATCTGAGCTCTCAGGAACATGCCAGATTTGTCTGTCAGGTTGTAGTTGCCTACAGTCAAGTTGGTGGGGGGAGGAGTGGGTTTAGGAGGAGCTGGGGTGGTAGTTGGTGTGGTGGTTGGTTTGGTGGTTGGTGTGGTGGTCGGTTTGGTGGTCGGTTTGGTGGTCGGTTTGATGGTCGGTGTGGTGGTCGGTGTGGTGGTCGGTGTGGTGGTCGGTTTGGTGGTCGGTGTGGTGGTCGGTGTGGTGGTCGGTTTGGTGGTCGGTGTGGTGGTCGGTTTGGTGGTCGGTTTGGTGGTCGGTTTGGTGGTTGGTGTGGTGGTTGGTTTGGTGGTTGGTTTGGTGGTTGGTGTGGTGGTTGGTTTGGTGGTTGGTGTGGTGGTTGGTTTGGTGGTTGGTGTGGTGGTTGGTTTGGTGGTTGGTTTGGTGGTTGGTTTGGTGGTTGGTGTGGTGGTTGGTTTGGTGGTTGGTGTGGTGGTTGGTTTGGTGGTTGGTTTGGTGGTTGGTGTGGTGGTTGGTTTGGTGGTTGGTGTGGTGGTTGGTTTGGTGGTTGGTGTGGTGGTTGGTTTGGTGGTTGGTGTGGTGGTTGTTTTTGAGCTGTTCTTAAACTCATGTGGATCGGACACAGTTGCTGCCGGTATGGGATTAATTCCAACTTCAGCCAATGACAGCGCTTCAGACAAAAAGGCAGAGACAAACGTCAATGGTCATTAATTTATTATTTTAAATAAGTTAAGAATAAGCTGAAAACACATCATCTATCCAACATGCTTTAAGCTTTAATACAAGTTAGTCTGGCTTGGCTAGGGTAAGCTAGTAAATACCTATTTGCACATCTAGCAGGCTCAGAGCAACATAATAAATCATTTGAAGTCAACCCACTAAATGAGTCCAATGTTCTCCTTTTAGCTTTATTTTGGTGTCCACCAACTCATAAGAAGAACCCTTGTCTCTTTAGCTGCCACATATGTTTCACCAGCTACTTGTGAACTGCGTCTCTCTGCTGTTTGTTGCTGAGCAGGAAGTGATAAGTGGGTACATTAAACCCAAATGAATATCTATTAGTGCAGCTGTAATGGTTGTTGAGTAGATACTGATCTTTGAACTGTGAGCAGCTTATTTCTTTAAACAAACATACTAAAACCAGCAGACTGACATTTGATCACATCTGGTATCGGCAGAATGAAGAACACTACACACTAATAACACGTTGCGATAAGGACACATCTGCTCCGCAGGGTCAGGCCATGGTCATTGAATTGTCCAATTTTAGGATTTAGATAGAACAGGAGACTAGGAAACACAGATCGATGCCTTTAAAAAGTGTTAGATTTTAACTTTCATTATAATAATTGTGCGGAGCTTGAACATTGATGATGAATATAGATTCAAGCAGGCATAAAATAATAAATATGAGCTCAAGTCACATATGAGCATTAAGTGAACAAAAGGGATATTCTTTTTCGAAAAACACATTTCTAGACCATATGGTTTAATATTTTTAAATGATTTGACTTAATTGCATTGTATTGGTAGACCCCATCAAAATAAACTCGCAGATTGATACTTGTGGAAAAAGCAGCCCTGCTCTGCCAGCTGACATGTGACTCAGACCTGAACGAAAGACTGCGGAAACTCTGTTCTCTAAACAATGCAGGAAGTCACAGAAAGGTCTCAGAAATGATAAATACCATCTCAATCTTCTCCCGTTTATCCGTGGTCGGGATAAATACTTCTACTCCAAATAAAGAAATCATCAAACCACTCTCATAGTGTGATACAAACAATAGCCTAACATAATGGCTGCTTGCTATAAAGTATAACACCCAAGTATTGACTCAGGTCACTGCGTGCTGCAACCCACATGCATTACAACACACTTCATTCATATTGATTTACTCTTATTTTTATTCTGATTAAGTTAAATAAAGAGTGTTACCTGAGACAGCCCAGCAGACTACGAAGGTGAACACAGCAGCCCTCTTCATATTGACAGGTTCTGTGGTGCGATATGGTCTCTGCTGTTCCGTCCTGAGCTGAGCGCAATGTGCGGCACCGCGCTGCGTCTCCGCACATAAATACACGCTCACAGCACACATACACACACCGGAAACTGTTTCAATACAAAGTAAAATAATCCATCTCTCTAAGAAAAAACCTACATTTTAATAAACGGGGACCACGGACTGAAAGACATTGTATCACTAATGCATTTAATAATAATTCAGTAAATTATATTTTTGATTCAAAATAATAATGTTTTTTGGGATTCAACACCAAAGGGGGTTCCTAAATCATTCTTATTATTCATGTTATTATTAAGAAATTGTTTTAATCTGGTGGTGTGAAATCTTTTTATAAAATAGTGCCCCAATCGTTATGTATTCTTATTCTGTGTTCAGGTAGGTTTTTCTAAACATCTATAATATTGTAATATTTGAAAAGGTTTTCAATGCATGGATTAAGGTGCAAAAGGGGTATAAAACACCTTAAATTGGTCAAAGTAAAGCAACAAGTATCCACTTAATTGTACCTTCTAATAACCTTATATTGAACAAATGCTTTCAAACTGTATATTGCAAGTTCAGTAATATATTACGGGGCTTTGATAATTATTCAGAGTGCATAAACGTGATTTCAATGATTGTACCTTTATGTTTGAATTAAAGGACACATTCACATTCTCTACAAATCTCACGTTATTTTATTGATATATAGATTCGTAATGTCCTTTTCTAAACCAGGATTTTACCTTCTAACAGTTTGTGTATATGAGTGAGAGAGTAGGCAGTACAGGGCGAAATAGGGATTTATTTTGAAAGCACTAACCGGAAGCGCTGGTCTAGATTCTTAGATGCTGATGCTGCTTTTACTTTTGACAACTTTTAGCAATATTCAGGAAACGAAAGTAATGTGGCTGCGGGGGGAGGGGGACACTTTTCCATTCGAGTGAAACGAAACCCGCAGAAAGTACTCAAGTATTACCATCAAAATATAGTTAAAGTAGCGACAGTAAAAGTAGTGATTGTGCAGATACCAATCTGCACAATCACTACTTTCAGAACAATATATACGATATGTTTTATAATGATTGATCATGAAAGTGTTCTCAAAGCTGGTAAAGGTGCAGCTAGTTTGAATGACTTTGTATACTGCAGGGTAGCTTGTGGATTTACTCCAGGTGGAACTAAAGTCCAGGGGCGGATCTAGACAAATATTCATGGGGTGGCAAGAGGGTGGCAGGAGAATTTCAGGGGTGGCATCCCCTGGCAGAAGTATATGCTGATTTAATCGCAGTCATATCAACAATGTTAACTTGGAAAGCCACAATATTGATATTTTAACTCAATATCATTTGGTGACATTATTGTGGCACATCAGTAAAACTTTACATATAAATATATAAGGTGGCAGACATCATTTAATGAATTTTAACTGAACAATAACTGAATGAGTTTCACTCTTAGACCAGCAGGGGTACAAATCTATGCAGACTGCTGCAATAAGTACATTAATTAACTGTCTCGTCGATGTTTGTCTGAATGAATATGATACTATTAACAATCATATTATTCCTATCAGCTGTCAATCACTGTTATGATTCACATATTCAGTGTTATTATTAAATAAACTATATTTTTTGGAGGAGTTAATGATGAATGTTCCTCAAGGTGCTTGCTCACCCTCCTTCAAATTTGAAAGACAAGTAATTACTGTCATAAATCAAAAGAATCAACAGAACAGTTCAGCGCCCCACGACTTCATTGCAAACAGTTACAACCTTGACTTTACATCAGAAAGAACAAACATTAAAGAAGTGACTAACTGCATCAATTAGGGTTAAAAAACGTGTATTCAGCTAAAACATATACATCGCTGCAGTTATTATCCAGTGGAAAGTCCGTACCTACTGGCCTAGTTAAATCAAAGTGGTTACTTTTTTTTGGCTGGGCAGTGAAGTTTTGCACACCGTCTTATTTGACTTTCTCAGGACTTGAAACAGTTTTTGGGGGCACAACCCCACAAAGAAGAAAAATATTATACACACGTAAGGTCATCATCTTAACAGTTTATTATTCTCATCGACTCATCCGTGAGCAGAGCATCAAGTTGGCATGCCTATAATAGCTGAATGTGGCGATTACCATCTTGATCAGCAAAACGCCTCACAAACGTATTAAGATCTAAAGCTATGGTGCGTTTTGATTCAATGCTGAGTACAGCCAAACTTGACAGGCTCTTCTCTGTCATTGTCGACCACAAACAGTATTTGTGTTGGGTAATCTATGGTAGGGCTAACCCATACAGTGGTGGGGCTCAAGTCAGTATTTGCAATGTAATTACATACACGCTCCCCTTGACAGTGAAACGCCACGCGTGAGCTTTAGATTATTTTCCTGTCTCAATCCAAATTGAACTGTATGAAATAAAAAGGCACATTTGTCTTGTAGTAAATCAAAAGGGCGACCTGGAGCCAATCCTGCAACTTCCCCACAGGTGAAAGAGTTGACATGTTGAAAACCCAACTCCTGCAGGGGGGTCTGGGGGGATTCTCCCCCAGGAGATTTTTTGAAATACTAACATAAAATACACATTCTGGTACTCTCTTGAGAAGAAAAATAAATAAATCTATTACTACATATTTATAAAAATGAATGTCATTTTAGTTTTTTGTTACTTTGTTCTGAAAGCTGAACCTGCTGCTACTCACAGAGAGAAGAGGGAAGAGGCTGTGTGAATGACTTTACATTGTGGATAAGGGTGGATAGCCCCCATTGTTCTGTGTGTCAAAATGAAAGACAGCCCACACACCTATCAATCATCAAACCGTGGGGTCTTATTTCATTACGTGTTGATTTCTATCAACACGTAATGTTGTATCGATGTCTATGTACTACCGCAAAAGTATTCTCCGTCGGGACTTCCTGCAACAACACCACGCCGTTATCTTGATTCTGATTGGCCAGAAGACATTATCAAAGATGTTCTATTGAGAAGACGATCACTACGTGACAAAAGTTTTCAAAACCGTTTCTGGTCTTCGGTATTTCCAGACAAGTGGCTACTGGAATCAATCTTACTAACTGCTGTCTGTGCAATTTACTCCGCGCGAGTTGGCGGACTTTATTTTGCTTACTTTAACATCATTTTTCATGGTGGGGCTAAGACATTTCTTGGTATGGCTGTAGCCTACCCCAGCCATACCCTGACCGCAAATACCTCATTCCTTCCGTCTACTTGGATCCGAAATGCTTCTCGTTTTGAGCTGTCCCCCGTTCAAATGAAATCGCCGCCAATCATATTTCCACGCTCGCGCCAGGGGGGGAGGGGTTACAAGGCTCGCGTCTTGTGCTGCATTCACTTGCACTCGGACATTAGAGATTTTCTCTCATAAATGTCCGATGAGCCACAACTTCTCTTTCAAAACAAAGCTGCCAAATGGGGTGGCAGCTGGGGTGGCAAGGTATTTTTCTGAGGTGGCAGCTGCCACCCTGTGCCACCCTGTAGAACCGCCACTGCTAAAGTCTGATTCAACACTTGATTATATTTCACATCATTCATCCACATCTGTGAAGTAACTAAAGGTATTAATACCTAATTAAGTACAGTACTTGAGACTTCTGAACCTACATCATACTGAAACAACACTGTGGCTTCAGGTTTCTCTGTCAAATGTATGGGAACACACTTCAACTGCTGAATACAAAAAGTAAATCAATTATTAAATATAATTTGACATCTAAATATAGGTTAAGATATCCAGCAGCAGTATATTACGTAATATAAATGAGCTCCACCTTTACCAGCTGTAATGAACACATACATGCATCAATAATGCATTAAATAAATATCTGCAGCAGTAAAAACTGCAAATATGATTCTAAAAAGGGCCATTACGTTACCCGAGTACTTTTGCTACTTTTGGTATACTTTAAGTATATTTTGATGCCAATAGTTTTGTACTTCTTAAGTACAATTTGCATGTAGGACTTTTACTTGTATCAGAGTATTTTTACTATCGAGTATTGCTACTTTTACTCAAGTAACAAAATACTTCTTCCACCACTGAGTATAACAGGCCTAAAGGAAGTAGTGTTGTCATTGTAATTCTAGTAATAACAGTTGCAGTACTTTAGTAGTTTGTAATGGTAGCCTAGTGGAACTGACATACCTGTGAAAGTAGTTTTATTGTAGCAGTATTTGTGATGGTCTTAGTACACTATTAGTTAAAGTAACAATTATAGTATCAGTATTAATAATAGCTGTATCAGTATTACATGCAGGAATATTTATATGACATATACAGTGTAAAATACTCTGTTACAAGTACAAGTTCTGCATTTAAATGTTTTTTAGATACAATTATTGTGTATTACCTATCAAAATACATTTAAAGTACTGCAATTTAAATGACTCCTTATACATAAGGCCCATTTTTAACAGGCCTGGAGGCAGTACGAGTGGACAATAAATGCAATACATTGGCAGTAACAGGCAGCCTACATACTGTATAATGTAGTAATATGATTAGGCTTAATATTGCTTAATATACAGACCACAGAGGACATTTCCTGACATCATGTGATGGACACAGAAAGAGGAAATGAGACGTTTCCCAAATACCCACATGTACTTCACCTCACCTGAACCTCATGACTGAGCAGACGAATGCTTTAAATGTGCTCAGACAAGCTTTTTGTTTTATTGTTCATAGTTGAATTTTCAGAAGATCACAAGATACAATTTACATACAGACATCACCAAATCTAAATTCTCACTGGGGTTAAGGGATTTATGTTATGCATTGTAGCATCCCATAAACCCCTCTGTTCCAGCACCGTTTCAGAAGTGCTGATTCTGTGTCTGTTACTTTAGATGAAAATAAGGTGCCACTCCCCACGCCGCTCTGATGCCCCTTTCACACCAACGCGGCTCCCGTTCTAGCTCCGTGCTTGCGCTCTTCTGGTTCGGAACCGGTTTTTCTTTTCAGCCCCCGTTTTGTTCACACCGCCCAGAGCCAAGGCAAGGCAAGGCAAGGCAAGGCAAGGCAAGGCAAGGCAAGGCAAGG